ACATCTTAGCATTCCTATTATGTTCAAGTGTCTAAAATTGACCTAAGAAATCTTTCGATGATGTTATTTATGAAAACTGCATTACAACCGTATATGGGTCATTTAGCCGAGTGCAAGGTATTAAGAACGCTTCAAAGTCGGAAGCTACAAGCTCGTTATCGCACGTCAAAAATTAAGATATAAAAATATCTTAAGGTATTTGTTGACGTTACTCCGACGTACTATTAAGAAAATTTATAATTCTGTCAGCTCCACACTCAAAGATCTTACAAAGTAATGTGACAATAGGAAGTCTGGGGTATTAAAAGTTCATGTAGTAATTAACGTGAAAAAGGATAACATATAAATGAACTATGTTGAAAGACAAGTTTATGCATAGAAATATATACTCCAACCTTCTTTTTCCTCTATAATACACAATGAGCATAAAAATATGGCATCAGAAAAATTAGAAAAAAAACATAAAGAGTGCAAAGATATTTTTAGAAACCTTTTCGCATTCCTTCAAATTGAGTACGGCTTCATACTGTTTTATGAAAGGATTAACACCCTTATTTCAATTCTCGATACATTCTCCAGAGTCTAAGTGCTTTGGCTGCCGCCTGCCCTGTGCAATTAAGATGCTAAAGATGATTTACATAAGACAAGATAACAGCAAGCATCACGCAGTAACACGCTACATGATAGATCTTAAGTTCCTCATCGAAATCTATCATCAAAATATTTTAAACTTCATTTCACAACAATTTGGATACTTAGGTGGAGAACATAATTGCTTGCAATTCGTTAATTACAAAGAGACAAAGAAATGTTTTATTCAACAGATTGTTCGCATTAATAAGCCACTATTCAAAAAAATCTTCTAAGAAAAAACCCCAAAAATGTTCAGTTCCATGTAAACGCTCAAATGTAAACACTGACAGAGTTTTAAAATATCCTATAGAAGATGGTTTTTCATAACTATATACAATGAAGCTAACATGAAGCTAACATCCGTTCTCTTTGATGCTTCCACGACCCCCATTTCGTCCTATTTTCGTCTATATTTATGGAATTCCTTGTTGGAGTCAAAAATTTATTTTTAAAAATTCATTTAAGATTTTAATCACACGAATCAGTCGATTATTGAAGTGTGCTAATTCAGAAATCAATTTATGTCCTATGGATTTATCAAATGCCGCGGCTTTTATTGTAGGAATAACCATAAAATATTCCTAACCGTCAACGGTGGCGAGACGAAGAACTTTCATGTCCTGGCAGCTGACATTGTGTGATTCTTTAAGTAATTCAACAAAACAAATATACATAATGCCCTTAATCAAGGAGGTGATTAAATCCTAGCCATAAAACATATTTTGATTCAGCTTATTGTTCTATAAGTTTTTCTTTTCTTAAAGTTTAACGCATGAGACATCTTGAAACCAAACTGATTTGTATTTAAACAACAGAAAAGATCTTAATCCATAAACATTACAACTAAAATTTTGTTTTTAATGGAAGCGGCAGAAACATGCAATAATAATGAGCACAGCAGATGGCTAAAAACGTCTCTAATAGCCTTGTTGAAATATATGTAAATATTTTAGTGCCTAAAGACAAGAACATTCTTGTTTGGATAATTATCCATAAAGTTGCAAATATTAGTTATATGCAATAGCGTAGCTATAGGTTTTGTAATGTAATCTTTACAACAATATCATCATTTATTTCTTTATAAGCAGTTTGTTTTTAAAATAAAGACAGCGACTGAGGAAGAAAATTGGTTCTAAGGAATATTTTTTACGACATTAAGAAAAATTACCCAAAATTTGTCCAACTAATACTAACACACAAAATTTGTTTTTTAGTAAGGACTTCGATGAAATGAATACAGGAAAATTTTTATAGGGGGGCTTAATATGCCGGCTGCCTTCGCCACTGATTTTTCAGTGCTGTTACAGCAGAGGTTCGCTGTTTTCTCCATAGCCACATTCTTCACAATTAAACACACTGACTAATATTTTGTAGCTACAAGACAATTCCCAGCAAACAAGGTTGGAATGCTCTAAAATGCCTAAAACAAATTTTAACGAAATGGCGTTGCACAAATTTTTATGAAAGTATTTTGTTAATATGATAGCTACTGAAATCATGCAGTCTGGTAATGTGCTGCAAAATATAGTTTGTAACATTTGCTAAGTTAACAATGAGTTTTAAGAATTTTTAATACCAATCCTTTAATTTTAAGTTTGCAGAGAAACGACTTTAAATCATTTTGACATAAAAAAAAACATGTAAAAGACACTGTTTTTTCCTGCATTCGTAGACATAAAGATACAAAGATAACACAAAGGGGTTGCATAATAAACAGTGTAGGCAACATTTATATTTTAATCATTCCTTGCTTAAGGAACGACACGCCAAGAGGATTTACAATGATGAAAAAACACCGATGTATTTAGAAGAACATTATTTCCTGCACAAAACAGCGACACAATCACGATTTGTTCCAAATGCAACCAATCATATATGTAGAAAATGATTATGCTTTAATACAATATTGGGGAAATGTATTGGGGTGTTTGCGGTTTCTTATAGCTACGTTTGTTGGTCTTTTCGGTTTTTCTACCGAAAATATGCCTGAAAAGCAGGTTGTGATGAATAAAAGAACCGAAACAGTGGTCAATCATTATTAGGTATTTAATAATTATTCTTTTCAAAATTAAATTTATTACTTCCTAGTGTTTGAACCTTCGCTCCTAAATGTAGTCAGGAGATTTAATCCAAAATAACCACTCGACTTGTTCGTCATTTGTATACATGCATTTAACTTTTACCGAGTTTCTCCCATTTCCACCTTTCATTTCCGGCTCATACACAAAGATTGAGCTCCCGAAGTATGGTAAATATGGATGAAATGAATACAAAAGTACAAAAATAATCAATCAATGAATAAAATAAGCCTGTATGAAAGTATAATTTCTTTGATGAGTAATTCTAGTCAGTGGGTTCACGCAAAATCTAAAAAATCTATTTCTATAACTTATTCCCGAATCAATAGCTAAATATACGTAAGAGATAGGTAAATCTTGTTAAAATAAAGTTTTAAGTACTATTGCACAGTGGTAATGACACTTGCAAGTGTCTCGCACATATTATGATTAACTACAGTACAATACCTAGGAGGCAAGTTTTGAGTATAATTCGCTAAAACGACGAGTTAGCCCCTTAAAATACGTTAATATTTCCGTGTATTTCGTGATTGCGTCTATTTTCTGTAATAACGATGCACATATTCACATGCCACTAGGATTAAACAAAATGATGTTCTTAAAATTGCTCTTAAGTCTGTAAAAATCTTTTCCATTGATGAAAATGTCGCAGGTCCTTTTCTAGAAATCAATGGAACTACACGTATGCGGTTTAAAACGAGCCATTTTGCATTCCCGATTTTCCGTAAGGGCCGGGTGGTCCTCCGAATACGTAGAAAATGAAATAGAAAAATAAAAGCAAGAAGTATCATTGGCATGCCAAAGAATTCTCTCCTCTATAGACTAAATACAATACCAGTTGATAAAACTATGAGAGAACTTGAAAAACGTATTATCAATCATAGCTGTAAAAATTCAACTGAAAATTTCATTGTAGTTTATAAGTTATAACATAAACGTCCAGGATATAAAAGTTCATTTATGTTCGTGCAATCGATGCAATACATAGGAACAATATGGGAATTTCAACAGTACTTAATATGCAAGCAGTGTAATATATGTCACACTACTTTCTACAAACTGTTCCAGAAAAGCAAGAATTCTAATGGGGTTATAGAATTTTTAAAAATCTGCAGCATACTTATGTATGGGAATGGGAGACACATCAATCAGACATTAAGATCAATGCTTACAAATATTTTATTCACAGCTTTTACAACTCTCTGGCTAGGTGACAAAACTTTAGCAGAAATGGGGTGCTATGTAATTACATGGTCTTGTATGCCATTGCAATTTACAAGGTTTTATTTTAAACATGGACAGGAAGGTGCATTCTCCTACAGCAGTCTTTCTTTCCCAAAAAGTCGATGTCTCCCCCCTGTGCAAGGTCGTCATTCGCGATCCCTTAATTCAGAATAAATTTCAGCAAGTTCATGGCTTCATCTATAAGTTATACTATTTCACTTGCCATATTTTTAACACAATATGTGTTATAATGCATATTTAAAATGATCAAAAATAGGTCCTGTTCTTTAATAAATGCATGAAAGAATACGACAAACTACAAAGTTTTGTAAAGATTGGGTTCATGTACGGTGGTAACAATACCTGTTTTGATTATTTTGGGCTGACGTCTAGGATTCTTGGGAGTTGGGTCTCTCTTGCTGTCTTGCAAATTGGCTCTTAAACTTGGAACTTGAGAATGAGATACATCATAAATCTTTGAATTTTCTGTTTCAGATATTAAATCTCGAATAGTGAAGGCTGATGTAGTTAGATTGACTTTTCAGAACAATACAACAAACAATAACACTTGACTTCTTACAATTTATCTGTGACTTTGCACGTCAACCGACCACAGTCCACTCAGGTCATTGACTCAGGTGCTTAAATTCACCCTCATCTTTAATACCAGACGTCATACAGTCCATAGAGATTATAAATAATACTGTTGTATCGTAATATAATCTATTGTCCAAAATATGGTCGGCACTAGATCATGGTCAACTAACGTACGCGCCCATATATTATTCTTATTATGTCAGCGGTAAGTAACAATTGACGAATATTCTTGTATGCATTATACGAATGATTTTACTGCACTACATATTGCGTTTGCATATGGCAATAAGGCAAATTGGCAATAGAGAAAGCGAGAAAATATTAGATTTCAATAAAAGATTTCAATTCAATTTTGGTCGGATGTACTTTCTTTGAAATGTCTGCCTTGCAGTAATGGATTGATAGTACTTTACAATATAATAACCACACTTCAAAAATTGCAAATTCACTGGACCTAACTCACCTAAGGAGAAAAATGTAATGTTATAAAGTAGAAATGGACTCTATTAGTATTATAGATATGATATTAAATATCTTCCTGTTATTTGTAGTACTAATAAAAATTATTATAGATACAACATACGTGATATGCACACCCATCTAGATTCGTATCTTCAAATTTTTTCCCAAACTTCATGCATAATAATTTAAAGTTTGTGTGTTTAATGTGTTTGACTGTTTGTCCATACTTGCTTGTAATTTTCTGATTTGAGTTAATGTACAGGTGTGGTAACTTTTTAACTTTGTTAAAGTTATTCTAAGGAAATTTTGAAAACTCATTGTCTCCAGCAGTGCCGTCCACACAGTTAACCACAATCTAATTTAAGTGCTCATTAAATGAAATGGATAGTTTTCAATTGAGCATATTGATTTATCACGAAAAATTGATAGGTAATCATAGTACAGGTGCAGCCAGATTGAATGTTGAGTTGTGATATCAATCACAGTAGCTAATTCATATATGTTCCTGAAAATACTTTAAAACAAGAAATGGTAACAATATATCTTAACATGTAACACTGGATATTCTCTACATTCATCTCTGGCAAAAATTTTCACATTGAATCTCTGAGCACCAAAATAAATTCTATTATGGAAAAACAGATTGTTCAAAAAAACCTTTGAGCATATAATTCCTTCCCTTGTGAAAGGATTTTTCGAACAGTTTAAAGGCTCCCACATGCTTTTGTTATGCTTGTGGCATAGACCCAGTGCTGTAGAACATAACTTGCCTTAGATGCAACTCTCTCAAAAAGTGAAATGTAATTGTAAAAAGTCATTGCATGATGTCATAGTGTTTGCAAATAATATTACCACTTAACATGAACAAGTTTCTTTATCAATTTTGTAAACTAAAAATCTTTGTCAAGTTGGGGTGCTCTGTGCTCTGCAATGATTATTCATAATTTCATGAAGAATGCTTGATTTCCATGCAACCACCTCCCTAACAGCATTGAATGCACCATTTCTTGACATTATGGTCATATGAGAAGATACAATGGCATTTGGCTAAATGTTTTTCGAGCAACAAAAAATTCATATTTTCCTACATTGTAAAATTACAACTTGCCAACGTATATTCTATGAGAATCTAAACATAAAAAGCGCGGGAAATCATAAATTAATTGTTGCCAAATGTTGCAAAAAACAACAGCAGTTTAGACCAAGGTATTTTAATATGCAATTCCAAAGAAGAAATGCTGGAAATATTCGGTGATTATAAAAAACGAACTCGCAGTGGGTGGCGCTGTCTCAACAGAAATAAATTGATAGGTATAAATTATATAATAACTTCAATGCAGAATGCATATGCTTGTCCAGAGATGTACTACTTTTTGGTTATTGTGTAGTGGTGAAGAAAGAAATTTCACAAAATTTCATATACATATTAAAGCAGAACTTTTGTTTAAATTTTAAATATTAAAGCATGATAACATGTATGAACCGAATACTTAATGATGACATGTATGAACAAAATACTTAATGATGACATGTATGAACCAAATACTTAATGATGACATGTATGAACCAAATACTTAATGATGACATGTATGAACCAAATACTTAATGATGACATATATGAACCAAATATTTAATGATGACATGAATGAACTGATGTAAGTGTTTAAGAGACAAGACTACAGACGAAATACTCGCTGAGAAAGGTTCATTTGAAAGTATTACCCAAGCAATTCAATGTCACAATATTGGTCACCACTGGGTGGTTTCTACATCCATAACTGGTGAAATAGTAGTCTTTGAATCTATGAGTATCAACCTGAATTCATCATTAAAAAGGCAACTCCAGAATGTTTACAAAAACCTCCAAGAACAGGATGGTTCTTTAAACGTCAAAGTGATTCTCCAACAACATCAAAAAGGATCATCAGATTGTGGTCTTTTTGCTGTGGCAAATACTGTTGCTTTGGCTAATGGTGTGAACCCTTGCTCTGTTACCTGGCTGCAGGAGAAGATGTGAGTGCATCTAGTCAAATGCTTTGAAGAACAAAAAATCGAGATGTTTCCCCACATTGAGAATGCAATGCAAACCTGCCATTCAAAAAATTATATTCTGTGAAAATATAGTAATTGTAAGCATCTAACATAAAAATAATCATGTATCGCTTCACTTTTGCTTGCAAAAATCTACACTGTAATTGCTCAAATTGGAGCCCCTTGACAAATCATGTATGTATATATCTGTAAATAATATTAAACAAAATTAACATTTTCTATTTGTGAATCATGGACATGGTATTTATTTTTACAACTAACTGGGGACATATAACTTATACTGTCTACAAAATGTAGAAATAATAAATTTCCCTAATAAATTTTACACAGTTGTGTAGCGAGCCCGGAAGATAATTTGGTCGTGGTATGTAAATTTGATATTATCATCATTAAACATTTCTTTAGAAATCTGTTGATTTTACAGTTAATGTACAAAGAAATAATTGTATAGCAGAGCTAAATTGTATAACTGGGACCGGTTATGTTTCTTATTTATGTGAACGAAATACCTGGCATCATCACGTCTACTGCCAAATTATTTGCTGACGACACCAAAATCTACCGACAGATAAATAATATCGATGATTCTATTGATTTACAGATAGATCTGACAACTCTCGACCTATGGGCGGATCGTTGGCAGATGAAATTTAATTCTACCAAATGTGAAGTCATGAGAATTACACATAACAGAGACAAAAAGTCCACGCGGTACAATATATCGAGTACAGTGTTTAGGAATGTATCTAATTACAAAGATCTTGGAGTTATTATGTCTAGTGATCTAAAATGGTCAAAACATGTTGAACAAATAGTTCACAAAGCAAATAAGTTTCTTGGCTTACTTAAACGCATAGTAGGCGGTAAAAACAAAGATATTTTTTCAAACTTGTACAAAACCTTGGTTTGTCCAATCTTCGAATACGCCTGCCCGGTGTGGTCACCGCACCTCATGAAAGACATCGATGAAATTGAGAAGATACAAAGAAGAGCCTCGCGAATTGCCTTAGGCCAAAGAAGACAAGAGATGGGGTACACGGAGAGGTGTAAAATTCTTAAATGGAACTCTTTAGTACAAAGGAGAGATTTCCTTTCCTTAGTGCAATGTTACAAAACTGTATTCAATCTAAATGGATTGAATTTCAGCGAATATTTTGAACTTTGTAAAAACACTAAATCGAGACCTAACCACCCATATAAACTACAACTCAAACTCGCAAGACTGAACTGTTACAAAAATTCTTTCTTTGTCTGAATTAGCAAACCCTGGAATAATCTTCCTAATAATTTATTTAATTTTTGTGACAGCCCTAACGTTTGTGAGTTTAAATCAAAATTAAAGAAGCACATGAATATTTATTGAATCGTCAGTTAAAAATTGATATTTAGCTGTTTCTTTTTTGACATTTTTTATTTATTTATTATTTACTATTTATTTTTTTTTATTTATCATTTTTTTATTTTTTATTAACTAGTTCTGTAAGATTTTTTACATAAATAGGAGACCCTTGATATAGGGCTAACCTCTGGGTTTCCTTTTTCTTAATAATGATGTATTTACATGTTGTTCTGAAATAAAGTATTGTAAAAAAAAAAAAAAATTACATATACATGAATATTCGTCAATTGTTACTTACCGCTAACATAATAAGAATAATATGTGGGCGCGTACGTTATTTGACCATGATCTAGTGCCGACCCCAAAATATGGTACCACTGTATGGTACCCGTTTTTTGTGGGGGCAAAATTGATTCCCGGATGTTAAGCTACAGTGAAAAACTATGCTTTATTTATTATCTCTATGATACGGTCATAAACCACATTTAAACCAAATATGTGTTGCGATATTGCAATCCAATCATAAATTCAAAACGATGATGAAAACATATAAATACTCAGAAACTCTGTACCTCAAAAATACTGTCATTGATTTTGGCCCTATATATTCTTTTAGCTTAAAAACTTATTTTCAATTTTTCTGTTTAATGTTGTTTAAAGTTTTAAAAATTTCTATTTTTGAAGTCATCCCAACTCTACCAGTGGTGCAAGCAGAGCAAGCTCCGCCCAGACACGTAGCCACAACGATAATTGGGCGGGGGCATTTTCATAGATGCATGACATGCTGTATTAATTTCTTTTAAATTTTTTGTTTTTTACATATTATAAAATAAATATATAAATATCCCCCCCCCCAATTATCGTTCTGGTTACGTGCCTGGTTTTGCCTATTGGAATATTTATTTTCGTTGTTGTGATCACGTTGTGATCACGTTGTTGTGATCAGAGATAATACTTCTGATTTCTTCACAGAAGATACATTCTATATAGCTTTTTAAATGAATTAGTAGAAGGGTAATACATGAAGAAAACAAACAAAATTATTCTAAATCTTTTTACAAAAAAATTTAGCATATTTATTTTTACCAAATCTTTTCCTAATTTACCAATTTTCAACAAAAATAAATAATACTGCACAGCATAGTAAGCATACAATAATAACGTAAAAACAAAAGCATGACACACAATAATAGAAAGATGATATGCTCCACTGCTCTACCGATTAAGTTATGGTGTAAAACAACTCAATACAACTCAATGTGTCATCCTTATCTCATCATGTCTGTTGTTCCACAACCCACTTTCACCTTGTTGTGCTTTTGCACATGTAAATTTTGATATTTAAATACGATTTCAACAATTTATTTGCTGATTTTGTCATATTTAGTGACTTTAAGCCAATCCAAAGTTATAAAGTCTTTAACATCAGGTCGTTCAAGTCGGTTTTCCATGTTTTCTGAAGATCCTCTCACAAATTTCTTTTAGCTTGTGGAGTTACCGAAGATCAAATCAGCGTGAGAAATCAGATTTACCTACACCTACATGAATTACTACGCTTCCTCTGCCATAATACAATTTTAGGCTACATAAACAGTAAACTCTGACATGAATAATCTTGAAAAGTGGTTAATAGCAAACAAACTTAGTTTGAATTCAACCAAGACAGAATATTTTATCATAGGCTCGAAACAAATGATCAAGAATGTTTTTACTTCTAATTTGCATATTGCAATTGGCAATTACGTTATAAATAGAATTTATGAGTACGAAAGTTTGGGTTTAATAATTGACCAACACTTATCTTGGAGGAGTAACACTGATAAAATTTGCAAAAAAGTAGCAGCCGGTATCTCCGCCCTTACAAAATTAAAGCAATGCACAGACAAACACTTATCTCTATTTATAATACCTGGTACATCCTTACTTCACATATTGCTGTGAAGTTTGGGGTGTATTGGGGGAAACTCAGTCCAAAAGACTACAAAAACTTCAAAATAGAGCTGCAAAAATTATCATAAGCATGGGCAATGATGTCGATTATTGTAACGCATTACAAGAATTGAAGTGGGAACCTCTTGAAATACTTAGAAAAAAAGCTAAAGCAAAGCTGATGTTTAAATTATTAAAAAATGCTGGACTAAATTCACTTACTAGATTGTTTAGCTATAAAAAAGACATCACTGATTACAATCTACGCAATATTACAAGTTGTCTAATTGTTCCTATGCCTAGTACTAACTCCTTGAAGAAAAGCTTTGCGTATGATGGGGCTTCTGTTTGGAATTCAAATCCAGCAGAAATCAGAAATAGCAAAAGCGTGTCACTTTTTCAAAAGAAAATTGCTGCTTGCATTTTATGATTTAGTTTAACATGTAACTGATGGAATAAATTAAACTCTGTAAATATTTAAACTTCTCTTCTGTAGATAATTTATTTCTTAGTAAATTTTGTAATTGTTTTTGAACAAAAGTACGCCCCTTGCGGAAATCAACCCAGGTTGACAAGGCCAGCGTGTCAAAATATAGATTTTCATTCATTCATAAAATTCCATTGGAATATGGACTAATTTTTTCAGTAGGTGAATTCCTTCGACACGGCAAATGATATCAGAGATAATACTTCTGATCTCTTCACAGAAGATATTTGTCATGTAGCAGTTGGCGATGAGGCAAGCTTGTTACTGAAGAATATTTTATAAAAAAAAAACAAAGAAGAAAATGTGTACGACTTGATACGGCAGCTGAAATTTGACCAGTATCGTGCATTTTTCATGTTACAGTTTATAACCCATTGGTACCTAGCTATCGTAAGTGAGAAGAGTGAAGCGTATGAAAAAACGAGATACATATAGGTTAGATAATCGCAGTTAACAAAACTACCATTTACATTTTTTCGCCAGTCTCGATTTTTTCTTATTTTGTTCATGAATTTTTGGGAAAATTCAGCCTCAATGTTCTTATAAATTTGGTTTCTATATAAAAAGAGGGTGTTTAATATTGATTGTCATAACATACATATTTACCATTAAATTGAATAAATTGGCGAAGACGTTGTGAAATATAAAAAAAATGTTCTTCTCTTTTACCCGGAAGTGGGAGATTAGATTTAAAATCGAAGTGATAGAAATAGATTACACGATAAAATCTACTGACAGAAAACTAATCAGTGCAATCAATATAACATCCTGATTGAACCTTTTGGGCTATATCTATAAAACCAGCCTCCTTTATAGCCTTAGCGAGTTCTATTCGAGTTCCATTCCGTGACTTGTAATTTGACAACATTTCATTGGATTTCTTCGAAGGTGATTGCCGTGTAGTGTTTTGGGCAATGTTGTCGATGTCCCACTGTTTGAATAAACCAGTGAGTATGGCAACTTTTTCCCATTCACTACATATTCTTTCAGCGATGCGACACAATTCCTTCGGTTTAAATGGACGATCACACACAGCAACAGCTGAGTCACAAGTGGGCTGATCTAAATATATTATTCAGAAAGATATTTTATTTAAAAAGCGTTTTTACTTATATAAAAGCTAATATTCTATGAGAAAAATATGAACTAAATTTTGTGTTTTATTGTTTCTTGTACATCTCGAAAAACGTTTATATAAGTTTTGAAGTAAAAACTTATTTGAAAGTAAAACGACTTAAACACAGATGTCGGGGAAAAGAACAGCGAACACCGAGAGACTGGATCCTAAGAACACATCCAGTTGAATTTATATCGGATTAAAATAACAACATACACACCGGGAGCCCATAACTGAGGCCAGCTGAAAAGGGTTTTTATGCATGTAGCAATGACTTTCTTACTCCATGGTAGACGAGACTTATACATTTGATTTGGACACTAGCCAAAATTCTTGTATACCTCAGTGTGTAAAAGTGATTGCTACATCTACAAAAATTGGTTAACATTTCAGCTAGGCTCAAATTTCTGGACTATCGATCCAATTTCTTTTCTTGTATGTGAACTGTTAAAACAATTTTAAAAAATAGCACAATGTTCTAGCAGAAGACACTAAATGACACTTCCAGACATTTAAAATACGATATCTAGAGTGTTGTTGAAAGTGTGTTTTTAAGTGTCTTTCTATAATCTAAGACTTTGGCTACGTTGCATTTTTTTAATTTCATGCTGGAGTTGTTGTATTTCTGGAAATAACCTTCTCATACAAGTGAGAAATTTTGGTTTTTGTTCGCTTGACTAAAATATAAGATGTTTTTCGCGTTTGTACAGGCTTATGCAAAATTCGAACACGTTTGTGAGAACTATCTAGCAGGTGCATTCCTCGACCTTCGTTCTCGGGCTTGCACTGACAGCTCTCAAGTTCTCCAAAAGGACTGGGCAAACAAAGTAGACAACTCATAATTTCTTAAATATTGTTTAAAAATTTTGTTTTAATTCCCTTAATTTTTAACCTCAATGTCCACACAATTAGGCAGGTGGGTTATTAATATAAACAGGCTTATATTTTTTAATTCTGTCAGATATCTTTTTCTTAACACCATTGCTTCAAAACAGTCGGCTAAAGCAAGCTATCTGCATTTAGCAGTGTTTCTATTTTACGCTGTAAATATCTTGCACATGCTGAATATTTGGTTGCGAAAGAAGATCTACTTAAAACTTACGCCAGCCATTTTCGTTTCTTTTCTTTATTATATTTAACTTTCTCGCTTCTAAAATATTTCGTTTTGATTGGCTGTTATAGCAGTTCTTTGTTGACTGACTAATTATGAGTAATTCCAAAAAAATTTTTCCTTTGGTATTCCGTGTTTTTGCACGGGTGTTTCGCTGCTTTGCAGTGGTGCTTGGTATATTTGAACTGGTATATACATCGGTCTTAAACTATTATAGTTTTTCTATCATAGAATATCATAGAATTTTTTCTATGATACGAAAATTCTATGAAGTCTATTATAGAACTTTTTCATGTATATTTTTAGTCCCAAAATAACAGTTATTACCAAAAGTCTATACCTGAAAATTATGCACTACATAATATCAAAAGTCTTAGAGAACATAAAATCTTAATTATCAAGTTCTCAAGAGCTTATTTGTTTGCGCTGTTTTGTGATGACTTACCAGATGGCTCCGAATTGATAGGAGTAGTGGCCGATGTGCTAGTAATTGAAGACGACGTTTCTAAATTCAAGAAAATAGAAATTTTTACCAATTGAGCAGAAAGAAATAAAATAGAGACATAATCAGTTTGGAAACTAACTTAGTGTAGGGTAGAGCATCAATTTTACTTCGTACTTATAAAATTTAATACTTCATGCAGTTGATTGTTGCAAAATTGAAGATAATTATGGAGTTGGACGCAATTAAACCAATCTGTGGTATTCTCACAAGGTTTGTTTTATATGGGTTTTTAAGTCAATGAGAACATTTGAACTTGAAAAATCCTATTAACCCATTTTCTTTTTTATACACCAGAAACATATATTTTTCGCTTTTTAAACTTTTATCTTCAGAAGTATCTTATTCGAATTATCATTTGACGTTGGCAAAAATTGTACAAGACAGTGCGTTTTCACTGAAATTTTGCAGTTAATATATTTACATTTTTTAAAATTCGAAACAGCAGCTAATCCAATTTGATAAGCTAAAGCTTAAAAACACAAGTAAGTGAGAAATTTTGATTTTTGGTTGCTGGACTAAAATATAACTTGTTTTTCGTGTTTCTGCAGGCTTATGCAAAACTCGACAAAAATATTTCGTTTTGATTGGCTCTTATGTCAGTTTTCTGCTTGACTGACCAATTATGAGTAATTTCAAAAAAGAAAATTTTAAGTGGTATTCGGTGTTTTTGTAACCGGTGCTTCGCTGTTTTGCACTGGTGCTTAAATCGGTCTTAAACTATTAAAATTTAAAATTTTTATGTATATTATTAGTCCCAATATAACACGATGATAAAAATGTCATGTGGCAATTTTACCATAACTTACCCTTCAGCCCTCAACGTCGGTTCCTAAAGGCTATTTTTGCAAGATTGAAGAATGTTGATTATCGAGTTATTTATAGTAATAATGCAGTTATTATCAGAAATCTATACCTGAAAATTATGCACTACATCATATCAAATGTCTCAGAGAACATAAAATGCTCAGTTGTACAATGACTTACCGAATAGCTCTGTATTGATTGTTGTAGTAGATGATGTGCTTGCATTTGAAGATGCTATTGCTGAAACATATGACACATTAGAAATCTCGCCAATTGGACAAAATGAAATAGCTACAGTTATATCAGAATCTGATTTGTTATAAGATGTATCAATTTACGTCTACTTTTACTAAATTTTACTTTAATAATTTAGGCGGACGATATTTCAATATTGTTCAGCAACAAAATTGTACGTAGTTTATGACTTTCGAGTTTATTTGGGAGATAAGAAGTACGGTAATGGAATTAGGAACAGTTTGAGTTCAAATTAGTACAATGAGTCATCTTATGGAAATAATAAAAAACATTAGGCTTTCTCAATAAAGCTAACAGAAAACCTTGTGAATGAATTAAGGTTTTAGAAAGTAAACGCCTAAGTCAGTACGATATTTAATGTCAAGAGCAATTTTTTTTTCTCACCGCTGATTTCCTTAATGTGATTTGCACATTGTTCAAAACAGCCACAGTTCTTGTAGTTTTCTTCGCCAAATAACTTTCTTAAAGCGTTATCTAGTTTGAAGCAAATATAATACTTATACCCTGGATCCCATGTATCCGAGCTAATAAACCGAGCAACACCATAACCAAAAGGAATTCTTCTGCCAGCTTCATCATGAAAATATACAAGCACACCGCAATCACCAGATTTAAGAAAACTTTTTCTGCATTTTACCAGAATAGCATTATTAATATCAACCTCATCTTCAGGAGAATAATGCGAAAAACAAGTATCAACAATGTAGCCTATCCTACGTGTTCCGTCATATTTCTTCACTTCAACTGGACTAGAAGAGTCTTTGTGTACTCGTATATACAGCTCCCGCCACACATCCCCCCAATTAGAAGGATTGTGTACTCCTTTTCGTCTGCATTCCACTGAAATACTTTCATTAACCTCTATTGATATGATGTCCACATCATTTTGCAAAACGTAGTCCCTGCAAGAGCCTAGTTGTATTTCAGTATTCGGAGGGATACTGTAAACGTATTCATTTGATTTCAAATGCAATTTAAATGCATTTGGGTCGTTAGTTGCCAACTTGATCATTTTATAATGTTTGCCATCGTCAACTTCATTGTAACAAAGATGGCAACATGTCAACGCGTAATGTTTCCCGTTTAGGCAGCAAAACATTGTTACCGTGCCTCTTGAAAGAATTCTCTGATCATTTCTTCTTATGGAAATATTTGATAAGGATTGGAGCTTCGCTTTTTCTGACCCTTTCTGCCGAAATTCAAAATACTTTGAAGCATCTGATCCAAATTTATCATTTATGTCATTTTGCAGAATATCTTTAGTGTCTACTTTCTCATAATCAACTGTCACAAAAATGTGAAGATATGGTATTATCTCGTTAGGACCGACTGCTCCATATCTCCCGCGCATCCAACGTAAACTTTAAAGTTAAATGTAAAAAGTTTCAATTGAATAAAATTAGCAAGAAACGGTTTGCCTATTTTTACCGAATTCGAAAAGTTCCCCCTTTTAAAGTTGTTGCTACTTAAAATCTGGAAAAAAAGCTTCCCTTTTACATCAATTACATAACATTTAAAATTTTAAAATTTAGATATAACAGCAGAAACAAGTTTACCTTTTAAGTTTCTGTTGCACATCTTCTCGAATGTTAAATTTGTCATCAAGAAACATATCTTTAAATTCAAGATCATCTTCAAAATTTTGAGAAGAGTGTTTATCATGTAAATTATCAGAAGTGGCAGAGTAATAAGTGTCATCACTAGAATATTCATCGGAACTTTCGTCGTCAGGACTTAGGTCAATGCGATTGCAATCTAAAGGCTCTTCAAAAAATAAGAACGAAATATTAAAGTAAAGAAAAAACGATCAAATATAGCTATAATAAATCAAGCATCATTCCGAACGATAAAAATTTTCAAATAGCATGAAAATTAGCATACCAAACAGATTGTAAAACTTGTCATTTGATTAAACGTGTATGTCATTTAATCACTTTCAAAAGCATACTTTTCATTAAATTTCCAACTAACAAAACGAAGAAGAACAATAAAACGGCCTTTATACACTGCTTTCTTAAAAATATAAACAAAAAGGGAATCATGCAGACGACTGCCACACACTTCAATGAAAAAAAACCATATGAATCATACATCTTTGAAAATTGACTTAAGCGGGATTGATAAAAAACTATAAGCTTCTCAATAAACAAGTATTTTGCTTAAATTTTGCTTTTCTACTTTCTATTACACCCATTTTCTTTTTTATACGTCAGAAACAAGTATTTTTCGCTTTTTATATTTTTATCTTCAGAAGTGTCTGATTCGAATATTCATTTGACGTTGGCAACAATAGTATAAGACACTGAAATTTTAGAGTTAATATATTTACATATTTTACAATTTGAAACAGCAACTAATCCAAATTGATAAGCTAAAGCTTAAAAACACAAGTAAGTGATAAATTTTGATTTTTGGTCGCTGGACTAAAATATAAGATATTTTTCGTGTTTGTACAGGCTTATGCAAATCTCGAACACGTTTGTGAGAACTCTCGACCTTCGGTCTCGGGCTTGCACTGATCAGCTCTCGAGTTCTCCCAAAGGCATGCTTGGTTTGCATAGGCCTGTGCAAACAAGTTGGACATCTTTTAATTTATTAGATAATATACATAATTTTTTGTTTAATTCCGTTAATTTTTAATATCAACGTACACAACATAATAAAGCCGGCGAGTTATTAATATCGACAGGCTCCTATTTTTCAATTCTGTCAGATATCTTTTTCTAAACACCATTGCTTCAAAACAGTCAGATAAAGCAAGGTATCTGCATTTAGCAGTGTTTCTATTTTGCGCAGTAAATATCTTGCACATGCTGAAGATTTGGTTGCCAAAGAAAATCTACTTAAAACTTACGCCAGCCATTTTCGTTTCTTTTCTTTATTATATATAACTTTCTCGCTTCAAAAATATTTCGTTTTGATTGGCTTTTATTTCAGTTCCTTGCTTGATCGACCAATTATGAGTAATTTCAAAAAGAAAATTTTCAGTGGTATTTCGTGTTTTTGCACCGGTGATTCGCTGTTTTGCACTGGGGCTTCGTCTTTTTGCACTGGTATTTACATCGGTCTTAACATATTAGAATTTTTAATTTTTTCATGTATATTATTAGTCCCAAAATAACGCGATGATAAAAATGTCATGTGACAATTGTACCATAACTCACCCTTCAGCCTCAACGTCAGTTCCTAAAGGTTGTTTTTGCAGGATTGAAGAATGTTGATTATCGAGTTATTTATAGTAATAATGCAGTTCTTACCAAAAATCTATACCTGAAAATTATGCACTACATCATATTAAATGTCTCAGAGAACATGAAATGTTAATTAGCAAGTTCTCCAAGACTTAATTGTTTGCGCTGTTTTGTGATGACTTACCGGATGGCTCCGAGTTAATAAAAGTAGTGGCCGATGTGCTAGAAGTCGAAGAAGTGTTTTCTAAAATAAAGAAAATAACATGAAATTTTACCAATTGAACACAAAGAAATAGAATAGACATAATCAGTTTGGAAATTGACATAGTGTAGGGTAGAGCATGAATTTTACTTCGTGCTTATAAAATTTAATACTTCATGCAGTTGATTATTGCAAAATTGAAGAATGTTATCAAGTTGGACGCAATTTAAATAATCTGTGGTATTCTCACAAAGTTTGTTTTATATGGATTTGTTAGTCAATGAGAACATTTGAATTTGGAAAATTTATATTATTACAGGAAGGAGATTGTCCACACTTGCTTAGCAAGCAAAAGAAGTTTTTAAGCTTTCAAAAAACTATTTTAATGAGTCATAGTGACATAACACGCTGAAAAATCTTGTTTATTGTATTAATTTTTAAAACTATAACTACACGAACAATATATGAAGGAGTTGGGCTATAGAGACATAATAAAAACCTTGACAGACTTGTTAGGTTTGTAAAACACCATTGTCTGCATATTTACAGTGAAGAATAATTATTTTAGCTATTACTTGCGACACATACTATTTAATTACAAATGAAGCATATTTCCTTGTTAAGATTCAGATACAAGAAATTTTCACGCTAGTATTTACTATAACTAATACACATATAATGAGTAATTGGTTATAATCATTTTTACGTATACGTTTCTACTATTCCATCCAAGTAATTTATTTAGATAAAGAGCAGCCCATGTTCATCAAATGTTGTTTTGATAATCGTTGGCATATAAACATTTTAAGAGTTAATTCATTTGTGCGTTGCCTCTATTGATGTATTCTATTCATTATAGTATAATTGGTTTTTTACAAGTTTTGTTTGACTTTGTTCCATTTCTTGTATTATAGTTATGATATTCATTGTTTGTTTCAAAATTGTTCCGGTAAATTTTGAAAACGCATATTTTAAATTCTTCATATTTTTTGAGTTCCGTTTTTATAGGTGTTGAGATATAAGAGTCTTATGTGTTGTAAAATAGCTTTAACGAATACTTACTTATTAGGTGTCTTATTTTTGTAACTATCCCTGAGTACTAAAGTAAATGGTTTGAGCCAGGAAGTATCGTTACATGTTTGTAAATGTAATTCGTCCAGGTTGGTATAGTCCAGAGAAGACTGTTTTTGTTGTTGTCGACTGACGTTTCGACAACCTTAGCGGTAGTCAAATGACTCTAAAGATGACTACCGCTAAGGTTGTCGAAACGTCAGTCAACAACAAAAACAGTCCTTCTCAGGACTATACCAACCTGGACGATCTACATTTACAAACATATCCCTGAGTACTTTACACGTGAAACTCAGTAACACGCGTGTTCTACAAATACACGGCCATAGCCTCGTAGCCTACTTTACCATGGTTAGGGTTAGGGTTTGGGCTTTCGCGTATTTGTAGTGCTCTGAACTCCCATCTTATACGTAAAACTAAATTAAATCAATTAATCATAACCCATTACGATTCTCTACAATTTAGTGATGTTGAGCTCTTTGTTTGAACGAAACGAAAGTGGACTGGTATACCTTGTTTTGTATCATCTTGATGGCGATTATTCTCTCCTGTAGCATCGCTGTCTTCTGTAGAGTGCATCAAAAAAGTAAACAGTTTTAAAAAGGCTCAAAATTTTGCCAAAGCGTTTATGTAATATATGCTTTGATGTCGATATATAGATTGTTTGGGTTAGTAAATTGAAGGATGAAGAAAACAAATCATGTTGATCATTTTCCTTTTATTGCATTTAAAGTCCATTGCATTAAGCAGATCTCACGTTATTTATCATTGTTTTAACATTCAAAGGAACTTTTTAACTTGCAACTTATTAAGTGTGTCAGACAGGCGCATCGGAAGGAACATGAAAAGGGAAGGAGCACATGCTGTCTAATCTTGCACATGCTGAAGATTTGGTTGCCAAAGAAAATCTACTTAAAACTTACGCCAGCCATTTTCGTTTCTTTTCTTTATTATATATAACTTTCTCGCTTCAAAAATATTTCGTTTTGATTGGCTTTTATTTCAGTTCCTTGCTTGATCGACCAATTATGAGTAATTTCAAAAAGAAAATTTTCAGTGGTATTTCGTGTTTTTGCACCGGTGATTCGCTGTTTTGCACTGGGGCTTCGTCTTTTTGCACTGGTATTTACATCGGTCTTAACATATTAGAATTTTTAATTTTTCATGTATATTATTAGTCCCAAAATAACGCGATGATAAAAATGTCATGTGACAATTGTACCATAACTCACCCTTCAGCCTCAACGTCAGTTCCTAAAGGTTGTTTTTGCAGGATTGAAGAATGTTGATTATCGAGTTATTTATAGTAATAATGCAGTTCTTACCAAAAATCTATACCTGAAAATTATGCACTACATCATATTAAATGTCTCAGAGAACATGAAATGTTAATTAGCAAGTTCTCCAAGACTTAATTGTTTGCGCTGTTTTGTGATGACTTACCGGATGGCTCCGAGTTAATAAAAGTAGTGGCCGATGTGCTAGAAGTCGAAGAAGTGTTTTCTAAAATAAAGAAAATAACATGAAATTTTACCAATTGAACACAAAGAAATAGAATAGACATAATCAGTTTGGAAATTGACATAGTGTAGGGTAGAGCATGAATTTTACTTCGTGCTTATAAAATTTAATACTTCATGCAGTTGATTATTGCAAAATTGAAGAATGTTAAAGTTGGACGCAATTTAAATAATCTGTGGTATTCTCACAAAGTTTGTTTTATATGGATTTGTTAGTCAATGAGAACATTTGAATTTGGAAAATTTATATTATTACAGGAAGGAGATTGTCCACACTTGCTTAGCAAGCAAAAGAAGTTTTTAAGCTTTCAAAAAACTATTTTAATGAGTCATAGTGACATAACACGCTGAAAAATCTTGTTTATTGTATTAATTTTTAAAACTATAACTACACGAACAATATATGAAGGAGTTGGGCTATAGAGACATAATAAAACCTTGACAGACTTGTTAGGTTTGTAAAACACCATTGTCTGCATATTTACAGTGAAGAATAATTATTTTAGCTATTACTTGCGACACATACTATTTAATTACAAATGAAGCATATTTCCTTGTTAAGATTCAGATACAAGAAATTTTCACGCTAGTATTTACTATAACTAATACACATATAATGAGTAATTGGTTATAATCATTTTTACGTATACGTTTCTACTATTCCATCCAAGTAATTTATTTAGATAAAGAGCAGCCCATGTTCATCAAATGTTGTTTTGATAATCGTTGGCATATAAACATTTTAAGAGTTAATTCATTTGTGCGTTGCCTCTATTGATGTATTCTATTCATTATAGTATAATTGGTTTTTTACAAGTTTTGTTTGACTTTGTTCCATTTCTTGTATTATAGTTATGATATTCATTGTTTGTTTCAAAATTGTTCCGGTAAATTTTGAAAACGCATATTTTAAATTCTTCATATTTTTTGAGTTCCGTTTTTATAGGTGTTGAGATATAAGAGTCTTATGTGTTGTAAAATAGCTTTAACGAATACTTACTTATTAGGTGTCTTATTTTGTAACTATCCCTGAGTACTAAAGTAAATGGTTTGAGCCAGGAAGTATCGTTACATGTTTGTAAATGTAATTCGTCCAGGTTGGTATAGTCCAGAAGACTGTTTTTGTTGTTGTCGACTGACGTTTCGACAACCTTAGCGGTAGTCAAATGACTCTAAAGATGACTACCGCTAAGGTTGTCGAAACGTCAGTCAACAACAAAACAGTCCTTCTCAGGACTATACCAACCTGGACGATCTACATTTACAAACATATCCCTGAGTACTTTACACGAAACTCAGTAACACGCGTGTTCTACAAATACACGGCCATAGCCTCGTAGCCTACTTTACCATGGTTAGGGTTAGGGTTTGGGCTTTCGCGTATTTGTAGTGCTCTGAACTCCCATCTTATACGTAAAACTAAATTAAATCAATTAATCATAACCCATTACGATTCTCTACAATTTAGTGATGTTGAGCTCTTTGTTTGAACGAAACGAAAGTGGACTGGTATACCTTGTTTTGTATCATCTTGATGGCGATTATTCTCTCCTGTAGCATCGCTGTCTTCTGTAGAGTGCATCAAAAAAGTAAACAGTTTTAAAAAGGCTCAAAATTTTGCCAAAGCGTTTATGTAATATATGCTTTGATGTCGATATATAGATTGTTTGGGTTAGTAAATTGAAGGATGAAGAAAAACAAATCATGTTGATCATTTTCCTTTTATTGCATTTAAAGTCCATTGCATTAAGCAGATCTCACGTTATTTATCATTGTTTTAACATTCAAAGGAACTTTTTAACTTGCAACTTATTAAGTGTGTCAGACAGGCGCATCGGAAGGAACATGAAAAGGGAAGGAGCACATGCTGTCTAATAGTCGCCATTTAGAATTTTAGCAACACCGTCGTTTAATTGCGAACGTATTAAACTAATGGGGAAAAAATTGCAAGAGATTTCTACGTGATTCTTTAGAGTCCACTTACTGCACTGTTGATATGTGTGTTTTATAGTCAAAATTGACTATTAGTAAACATTTTCTTGGTGGTAATTTCCTATCTCAAAGCAAAGTGGGGGGAGACAAATACCCCTTCTGATAAAAGGGGGGTTAGCCCCCTGCCTCCCCACTTCCAACGCCATTCTTTTCAGAAAACATAAAAGTCAGTGAGCAAATTCTCCAAGATTCAATTGTTTGCGCTGTTTTGTGATGACTTACCGGGTGACCCTGAATTGATAAGAGCAGTGGACGATGTGTTAGCATTTGAAGACAAGTTTTCTAAATTAAAAATAAAATAACAAAAATTTTACCACTAGAACAAAAGAAATCGAATAGCATCATACAACTATGCAGCTTAAAATTGAGTTAGTAGAGGGTATAGCATAAACATAAGTTTTACTTCATGTCAATATAGTTTAGTTCTTTGTATCAAAAATATCCCGATATTTAAAATGCCATGAGTACAATACTCTAACGTCATTGGAAATGATATTCAATTACACTTAAAAATTTTTTCGTTCATTAAATATAAATATTTTATTCCAATGTCAAGAATTTCTTTCTGTATGCTTGCATGCTGTAAGGCCGTGAGTAAGATTAAATTAGTGATCTTTTGCAGGTAACAAAAATTATTTTGGCTTTTTGCTAAAGCCCAATAGGAAGCCATATAGTCACAACATAAGATGAGTAGTAAGTTTTTCAATCAAAAAAGTTTTTACAGAGGTCATGGATATCGTGTTTAAAATTTAATGTGAAAAAATGAGTTCAAGCTCTAATACTTTTATGAACTGCATATGGTTGATGGAATGTTAGAATAGGCTATTAAACCTGATATTGAAATCGACCGATCACTCAAATCTTTTTTAATACCTGGAACTGAGTCTAAATCTGTCTTCACTTTCATGTTCATCCACTTCAACGTCGCGTCCACGCCTCCGCACCTATGATTTCCTTTAATAAAACGAACTAAACCTTTTTTTCTAGACACTAATGCCACGTTTTCGCAAGCATACTGAACGATGCGTAATGAATCGTCAAAAATTTCCGAGTCATATCCAATATTTGTCAGGATTATTGGCAACATGAATTTTTCGGTTTTAACAAAATAAGTCTCAATCACCAGCTTTGATTTGTCAAAGAAAAAACCTGTGACACTGTTGGTAACGGGAGTATAAATGACTTCATTGTATGAATTGATTTTGCCATTGTGTGGTTGAAATTTCCTTTTTTTAACAAATTTTCCATCCATCGTACTTATGATAATTCGGTAAATCTTGGGTGATTTATAAGTCAAAATGACTATGTTGTCGTCGGAGGAAATGGACAAATATTTCATTTCATCATCAATTGGTTTATGTTTCCCCTTTGCTACATATGACCTATTAAGGTTGCCTTTACCGTTATGCACATACATCCTGACGTTGCTTTGATCCTTCTTGACTGGAGCAGTAGCAATGATAATATTGTCATTTGGTGCTACAGCAAGAAAAATCTTACTAAATTGTATTTCTTCACGAAAGTACAAGGAACATTTTTGAACAATTTTGTCTTCCAAACAAAGCAACAAGGTATAATCGCCATTCGATTTGTCTTTGCCACCCAAAAGTAGATATACTACACCATTTTCATCAACATTCATGCATTTTACTTGCCTACTTTCAACATCCGACCATTGAAACGGACACCACGTTTCAAACACATCGGTTTTGCTGTTAAGTTTTTGGAGTTCATTTCTATCAAAAATTAATAATTCTCCTTCTTTGTTTACGATCATGTTTACGAGGTCAGTATTCTTAGGAAAGTGAGTTGAGTGCCAAGGTAATGAAGTAGTCGTGTTTTCTTCAATCTTCTTGTAATAAAAAGGATGAATCAGCTGCTCATCATATTGAATCTGGGGCCATTCCAAAATAGGCATCCTTTTGTTTGTGTGCTTAAAGATGAAATTGGCCAACGCCAAGTTGATATCTATTACTATGTCAAGGACTTCAGTCCCTATGCAGTTGCGAGATTTGGCTTTTATTCCCGCGACAATCGAGGAGTTTAAATCTTTTAGACATAACATGAAATCCCTTGTTGCTAACCCGCAGTTATCTGAATGTTCAAGAATAGCGCTTGCAATGCGTATCTTGCTTGCTTTTATTTTTTCTTCAATGGTCGACAAATCATTTTCAAACGCCTTTTTCGCTCCTTCTCCAGCTTTTTTGAAACGCGTTCGACATAATGGAACCTGTGTCGATGACGATGTTTCATTTGAAGTCGACTCTTGCTTGGGTTTCAGCTTTTTAACTCCTTCCTCGAAGTGAATGAAACTGTCACGAAGATCATTTGGCAATAATTTATCGTATATTTTCTTTAATTCATTGTTAAATGCATCCAAAAAATGCATTCCATTTCGGCTTTCCTCGACATCCACAACTATGCTCAAAGCTGATTTTATTATTGCTTCCATCACTAAAAGAATTACGCTCAAAGAGAAGCTAATATACCCAAAGATTATAACGTCGTTTTAAAGCTACTAAAGCATATGAACATGAACACCAAAATGAAACCAAATAGTCGCAGATACGTGGCAAGAAACGAACTTTAGAAAGTTATGAACTGAGTCACCAGACAAAGGCGTCACGCAAGTGTTGCTTACTAATGAATTTACATTGCAAATACATAAAAATCATTGTTAGGTTAAACATTGTAATTTGATATTTCCTTAAGTTAACTTCCTTATAGACACGTGAACATTCTTATGGGACTTTTACTGCATGCTATTATATATTCAGTCGAGTCGAGCCACTGATCTGATAATAGACTGGATATAGCTTCTACAGGTAGCAAAAGTGAAGCCTAATTATATATGCAAAATTCACTTCCGGTTACCACGGCGAGATACAAATTACTATAGAAATGTATGGGCGGATAACGTTTACAAACATGGATTTTCGAATATTTAAGACCTTTCGCGACTCCTTACTTACCTCATGTATTAGTCATGGATAAAACCGGTTATGCGAATCGATTTGACATCAAAATGATTCCGATAGCTGTAAAATATCGACGTTAGTGCTGATTTAAAAGTTGTACATGCGAGAATGTATTTTGTCCCATCGTTGCCAACGCAAGATAGTTCACTGCTCGCTTTCCAATTTCTGAGGCAGTTATGATCTAGTATACGTTTCAGTTCTTTAGAAATGAGGTGAGTTACTTTTTTTATCATTCTTTCTTTATGTTGAGAGATTGTTGACATTTTATTTTTGCTGTAACTTCATTTTTTCATGAGCAAAGTACTACTGATGCTTAAACAAGACAAGTCTATTTAGTTTCTTTCGCACTTTATCTTTAGTTTCCATTTCTGTGGTTGTTTTTCCCAAATGTTATAGTCGGACTTTGCGCTTAGTAATTCAAAGAAGTATGATTTTCATTGACATTAAAATCTAACAAATGCGTTCTGCACACATTAGGACACTTTAATAGTATACTGCTTTTGAAACATCAAGGTAATGTAGCCAGCCACGTATGAATTTGCAGGCCCTCTTTATAATCATCTTGGTTTTGGTTTGTCCCTTAAGTTAATTTCAATTATCAACAGCAACATATGACTGTGTCCACGGTTTATAATTATAAGTGTGTCCAATTGTATCCAGTATATCAGTTTCACATTGTCTTGTGCTAATTCCTTAACAGCCACGAATACTGCTTTTCAGCTGAACCCAACAGCTGAACAATTTACGGCTGCATACAAGAGACTTTTGATGAGAAGCAGTATCCATGGTTGCAATGGCAACTGCACCAGACAAGATGAAACTAACATATTGGAAGTAATTGGGAACACCTATAAAATGCCAAACAAAGAATCAAGTACGACAATTGATGATGCTGCTCTCATCCGAAAGTATGATTTACAAGGGACAAATCACAACAGAGATGAGGATGAAGATTATAGTGATGCACCAAGCTTTTCCACTGTATCTGAATTTAAAAAGGCGGCAATATCGTACATGGCTGGCTATGTTGCCCAGATGGTGCAAAAGAAAATAAACTTTCCTGTTTGTCATGAAGCAGTCGGTTCAAGAAACTACAAAAATGAGTCTGCTTTCCTGACTTTAAAAGACAGGGGTAATTTGTTTAAGCCAACAGCAAGTGTAATAGTAATATGCAATGAAACAGAGAGGTGCTTTCAGAGAATGTTGGCAGCTACAGATGGAAATTTACTGCAAGGGAAAGGAATTCCTGATGCTATTGCTTTGTCTGTAGTAAATGGTATAGATTTGAGGACCACATTCAAGGATCTCGATGCACACATGTTGGATACTACTGTTCACGAAAATCATATTTACTCATTAATTAAGACCATATCTAAATGCTACAGCAAGGTGCGACTATACCATTTGGGAAAAACAACCACAGAAATGGAAACTAAAGATAAAGTGCGAAAGAAACTAAATAGACTTGTCTTGTTTAAGCATCAGTAGTACTTTGCTCATGAAAAAATGAAGTTACAGCAAAAATAAAATGTCAACAATCTCTCAACATAAAGAAAGAATGATAAAAAAAGTAACTCACCTCATTTCTAAAGAACTGAAACGTATACTAGATCATAACTGCCTCAGAAATTGGAAAGCGAGCAGTGAACTATCTTGCATTGGCAACGATGGGACAAAATACATTCTCGCATGTACAACTTTTAAATCACCACTAACGTCAATATTATACAGCTATCGGAATCATTTTGATGTCAAATCGATTCGCATAACCTGTTTTATCCATGACTAATACTTGAGGTTAGTAAGGAGTCGCGAAAGGTCTTAAATATTCGAAAATCCATGTTTGTAAACGTTATCCGCCATACATTTCTATAGTAATTTGTATCTCGCCGTGGTAACCGGAAGTGAATTTTGCATATATAATTAGGCTTCACTTTTGCTACCTGTAGAAGCTATATCCAGTCTATTATCAGATCAGTGAGTCGAGCACATGTAACGCTATGGCGAACTTAATAAACTTGAGTAAAATTAGCTTAATAGTGTGATTTATTCGCTACCACCATCATGAATTCAACAAGTTATGGGCCCAGCAACAGCCGCCTAATTTTCGATGGTGACGAGAGAAAGTATGAGTTATGGGAAATAAAATTCCTTGGGTATTTAAGACTCAAGAAGCTGAGTAAAACAATCCTGTCATCATTGCCTGCCGACGCTGGACCAACACAAAGAGAAGAAGACGCTGTGAAAAATGCCGATGCCTATGCTGAACTGATACAACTATTGGACGATAGAAGTTTATCTCTCATCATTCGTGACGCTGCTAACGATGGAAGAAAAGCTTTGGCGATCTTACGCGAGCATTATCTTTCGAAAGGCAAACCACGTGTGATAACGTTGTATACAGAAGTAACTTCGCTAAAGAAGTCAAGTGATGAAACAGTTACGGATTATATACTGCGAGCAGAAAACGGCATTAACGTCTCTCAAATCTGCTGGCGAAACGATAAGCGATAGCTTGCTGATTGCCATGATTATCAAAGGATTGCCTTCTGAAAAATATAAAACGTTCTCGACGGTTATGACACAGAAAGACTAGGAACAAACGTTTAGCGAATTCAAAGTCGCGCTGAGAGGTTTCGAAGAAACACTAAAGCTCTCAGATGAAGATAACCAAAAGGAGGACAGTGTGATGGAAGTTCTCGGTAAACCCACGAGCAACAGACACGGCAAAGGAAAAATCGTTTGTTACGGATTCGGAAAGCCAGGACATAAAATATCAGAATGTCAGTCAAATAATTGTTGGTGTGATTTGTGCAAGAACAGCTCCCACAACACAAGAATAATGTCGCAAGAACAAGAAGAAAACGAGGAATACGAACGATGCTACTAAATCAGTAAGAGATAATTATGTTAGTAACAATGACATCCATGAAGGTCATTCATATGCATTCAATGTCAACGTGGATATAACGAGCGCTGACTATGTTAACCACAGATCTAATAATACACTAGATAGTGCAACGGCTTACATTTCATAAGTAGTGGTTGAAGCCTGGCAAATTTACTTCCAGAGCCCCAAAGTAGTGAGAATCAATATGGCGTTGTATTAGAAAATATCTGGTCAAAGCTGATATCTTGCAATTACTTGCAAGTCACGACGGTTACATAAACTGGTTTACTCTATTAATGAAAAAAATCAATGTGACCATAGTTTTTCAAGAAAAAGATAGCAGAATACGCCAATACATCGCCGTAAAATTGATTTCAAGTGTAGCTCGATTTGAAAGCATCAGCAGCCACGAAGGCTTAAGATACTGGAATTTGCACATCTAAATATCGTATCACAGCACAATCTGCCACAAAATGTTCAATCGAACGTCGTAGAATTATCTTACGATATTTATTGTTAAGTAAAACGAGTTGGAGATAACAGTTTGAAAGATTTTTCACGATTTATATAAAGTATATTGTTCACTGTACATAATTAAATATTGCACTGGATTATTGTACCAGAAATGCATTTTTCTGGTGTTTCTGGTCGGCAAACGAATATAGCTATGTCAAGATGTGTGTAATTAATACGTTCCGAAATTATTTACAGAAAGAATGTGAAGAGTCTACCTCGAAGAGTCTATGTCTTGCTTGTCTATGTCTTGTCTATGTCATAGAGTCTGTCTTGCTTCTTCGGAATTTGTTTTATATTATGAGTCTACCTCTGTTACACCAAATTTTTTGTGAAGTATAAAATAGCAGGTCACTTGTGAAACTGTTGATAACACAGGTTGATACAATACACTCTGTCCAACACGGGGAAAATATTTACTTGTTAAAGCAAGAAGAGTCACCAGACTTGTAGTATTGACTGTGTTTTACACATATATAAACAATGTATTGTCATAGTCTAAACCAGTGGGTTATATGGCCACTGCCCACAGTTCTTAATGTACTGTTATGGTGATGTTATGCTACTGTTTTCAACATTTTTATCGTCTTTTTTACCATTCATGCATGTATTCAGGCATGTATAAACTTTCTACACATTCTTGTTATTGAAATCATCAAACCTAAATTATTTATTCTGAGCAAAATATTTAATTTGTGCTTGTAACATGTGTCAATTTCTGACTGATTTTTGTAATATGCCTGTTCTATTACAATACATTCATAGATCGAGTATGATATCGCTGTATTTGCCACACGAACTAAGCCACACTATCGTAGATTGTCCTGTGATACGATATTTAGATGTGCAAATTCCAGTACTTAAGCCTTCGTCGCTGCTGATGCTTTCAAATCGAGCTACACTTGAAATCAATTTTACGGCGATGTATTGGCGTATTCTGCAATTTTTTTCTTACAAACTATAGTCACAATGATTTATTTCATAAATAGTGCAAAAAAGTTGATGCAACCTCCGCGATTTGCTAATAATTGCGAGATATTAACTTGGACCACATATTTTCTAATACAACGCCATATTGATTCTCACTACTTTGGGGCTCCGGAAGTAAATTTGCCTGGCTTCAACTTGTATGTCAGTTGCACTATCTAGTGTATTATTAGATCTGTGATGTTAACCATGTACTTGTAGACTGTGGGGCAACTACACACATAGTTCATGACATGAGCAAATTTATTAGGTTTGACACAAATTTCATTCCTGAAAGGCATTTCATTGAGTTAGCAGATGGAAAAAGGTCAAATAAGGTTGCACAAATAAGGGGCGATGGCGGAGATTGAAATTAGTGATAATGATGGTGTAATGCATAAGGCTCTTCTTAAGGATGCTCTCTATGTCCCATCCTATAAACAAGATATTCTCTCTGTACATGCTGCAGTTAGTAAAGGTGCCACTGTTACTTTCTTGCCAGATTGTGCTAAATTAGTTAGCCCAAATGGGAAAGAATTTCCAATTGAGAGAAAAGGAAAGTTATATTATTTGAATAGTGTAATCTCATCTAGCATGACTAAGCAAAATGGCAAAGCAAAATCTTTAAAGGAA